AAGTGGTGTCATTCAACCGTTCACTCAGTGAATAGCCAATCCATCTCCTCCCGCATATTTGTTGAGCCATTGGCTCTTGGTTGGTTTGTTCCACTGCAGAGCTTCATGCTGCTAATTCTTTCTGGCCAGCGAATGGATATTCAATATGGAACCGGTGGAGGTGGCAGCTGCTGAGAGATGTCTGCAGCTGGCTGTTAGAAATGCTTTTCGTGATACACAGTCCAAGTTTCTGACCCGGATAGAAGAATCAGTTGAATTCACATTTGTGTTGAAAGTCTGAATCTCGTTCTTTATATCGACTACCTGTGGTCGAAACGATGTTTCCTACATAAGCGAAGAAAGTGACCTCTGCCAAGTCTCTCCCGTTGATGACGACTGGTGCCAGTTGCTGTTGCTTTTGCTGTTGGTTGGCTATCTTCATCACCACCGCCTTCTCTGTACTCACCTGGAGTCCTATCTTAGCTTTCTGCCTATCCAGTAGTGGGCAGCCTCATCTTTCTCCTGCTGCACTTCAAGAGTTTCTATGGGCTGTCCGTTGTGAACCCCTACCACTTCAATTAACTGTTGATAGAGGCTGATAAAGATTTTGGCACTGCACGTCTTAGTATTGAAGCGGTTCCCAGATTTCTTCTCAGTCAACGGCGTCTTCCGAAGGCTTTTTCGAAGTCGATGAAGCTGATGTAGGGGTTCGATTGTGATTCTATTCTTTGTTCGATGACGATGCGTAGAGCTTCAATGTGATCAGCATATGATTCGCCTTTCCTGGATCTAGCTTGTTCCGGGCTGGTGGAGTTATGGACCCAGAACACCTTTTATTCTCTCTAGGAAGACGCGTGGACAAGAGCATAAATACACACCAGTTCTTTCAGAGGCAAACGTAAGTCGCCCTTCTTTGGTAGCTTCAAAATTTAGCCAGCCTTTCTTCCAATCGGTAGACGCTTTTCCTTCTTTCCAAACATTTTGCAGCAATGGCGTTTTCAGTTCTTCAGGAGGAAATTTGCCTGGTCCTACTGCCTTCCCGAATTTCAGTAGCTTCATAGCACTCAGGATTTCCGATTTCGTTGGAGGATCGGTGTCCACTGGCAGACAGATCTATGCGGGCTTTTTTTGATATTTCTGGGCGAGTTGCAGGTGAAGGTCGATTCAAGAGTCGTTTGAAGTGATCTGCTCACTGTTTTATTTGTTTCTTCCTCCTGGTAATCATTTTCCCTTGAACATCTTTTATTGGTTTCATCATCTGGGTTGATCTCTTCCCGGATAGAGACTTGGCTATATGATATAGTGTCATGATGTCTCTTTCGCCTGCGGCCTGTTCTGCTTCAGTTGCCAGTGTGTCGTAGAATTGTCCTTTCTAGCGCTCTTCTTCACTTCTTTATTCAGTGCAGTGTACACTGTTGTCCATTTTTGCATTGAGTTATCTTCTCTTTCACCACCATCCTCTCCTCGATTAGCTTCCAGGTATCCATTGAGAGCCATTCCTTGTCGTGTCTCTTCTTTCTTCCTAGAACAGTTGTACACGTTTCCTTGAATATGGCCTTCAGGGAGCTAGATGCAATGTTCTTCCACGCAGGTTTCCTCAGTGAAGCCACTTAGTTTCTCCGACTTCACTCTGATCTGATCTGCAGTGAAGGCATTCCTTATGGTTCTGTCCTTCAGTTTCTGAATGTCGAACTTGAATTACAGCGGCCTGTCCCCACTTGATCTCATGGATTTCAGCTTCACCCTGAAGGTTCCTTGAACTAGATGATGGTCTGAACCTAAATTTGCTCCCCTTCCCAACCTTGCGTCCAACAAACTCAACTGCACTTTCCCTAGCAATATTGAGCTGAATTCTGTCTGGTTTGTGGTATGTTCGTCAGGCAAAATTCATGTTGCTTCGCATATATCCCTATGTTTGTACACACTACCTCCAATCACATAATCGCTGAAGGCGTATAAGTCTGCAAAGAGTTCTATGGTCTCATTCATTTCTCTGAACAAGAAACTCTCGAACTATGATCAGTTGTCTTCCAGTTCTACTTGCTACCAGTTTGGCACTCATGAAGTCCATAAGGATTTTGATGTCACCATTTGGGATGTTTTCCATTACTGTTTGTAGTTGTTTATTAAAATCTTCCTTCTCTTGTTCCACGTTGTTTCTAGCACGGTGTGTAGCATTGTATAATTATCATCTTCCTTCCTTTGAGCTGGATCTTACTGTGATGATGTTGGATGAAACTGGTTCCCAGGGCACTGCCTTACGGCTTTGGTTGCCACTAGTGACATCATGATAGCCAGTCCCTCATTGTGTTCGCGGCTGTCGTCTGGATGACCAGAGTAGATTACTGACTCCCGTTGACAATTTTGGCAGTCCACATCCATTCTATCCGCTTCCGCAGATACCCAGTACTTTTAAGTCATATCTCTTTGGCTACCTGGTCAGCCTTCCCGGCCGGCTTCGTACATTGTACGGACATCTGACGGACCCATTTTTACTCTTGCTTTCATCGAGAGAAGACGCATCGGCTAGTTGACTGGCTTCCTGAAGGCTTTCATCAGCCCATGTCATTTCGTCTTTCCGATTCCAGTGGAGAATAAGTTTCTTATATGAATATTCTGTATTTTTATTATATTTTTGTCCGTTGGCGTTTTTCTAGCACTTTTTTAACTTTTGTTGTGCAGCGTCGCTGGCTCAACGCCCAACCCCCTCTTTATGTGGGCTTGGGGCGGCCAGAAAACTGGAGTGCTGGTAGAACAGCCTGTAGATGGCCACATATCTCCTGGAATACTTTTGGAGACCATATGGGAACGAGGAGGTTATGGATTTCACGACAGATCCAGGTGGGAGGATGCTATCAAACTCCTGTTTCCCTGACTGAAGATCCTCTAAGTTTAATCAACGTCGTTCGATTCGGAGCATTTGTGTTTGGTAGCTCACTGTTCTATAAAAGGAATCATACGGCATTCTATCGATACTGTTAACACAGACAAATTATAATCTTAGGGATGGTTTACTAAAATTCTGTAGGGAAAGCGACGAAGGACTATGTTCCAGTGATATGAGAAAACACCTTTAATTTAATTGAATTTTGTGACACTATCAAACAAATAGCTCTACGGTAAATTAGATATAACTCAATAGTGTGACTGATCTACAGTGTAGTCACAGGGTTTCTCTGGTAGAGAATAAGCGGCACACGACAGATATAATTAACGAAACACAAATGTCAGGTACTTGTAAAACGGTACAAATTTCTGTCCGGTGTATTTGAAATTCGGTCCACAGGGACCAAATCTGATAAAACTGATTCGATGGAAAAACAAAGAACAATAGGTCGCTACATGAAGAGTTCTTGAGTTCACTAAGGCAAATCCCCGACAAAAATAAATGGCTGTGTTGTTTGCAGTCCAGTAACAGTTATGTGAAGCACTGAGAAAAAAAGCCAGGGAAGGGCCAAGAAAACTCAGAGATTAAATGAAAAATAACATTCTAATGTCAATATGACTGTACGTGGGCCAAGGGAAACGACGAGATTTGCATCAATTAGTAGAAATAACTGAACAGCTAAAAGTAACGCAAAATGAATGTTCAACAGGTACTTTGTGAGGGTTTATTCTGCTACACCAGCCCAGATAAGAAGCCACCTTTTTCCCTTATCAGGAAAATGAATGAAATGACTGTGTTCGTTTGTTCATTGATGACAGCAGTTGTAACTGCTGGAACGCACAGGATAATAAACAAGGGACGTTTTGCTTCTGAGTGCGCTATCATGTCGGTAGAACATTTATCACAGTGTATTTAGTCGAGGTTTCCTAAGATGACTGTGATATTGAGGTCTGAAGTTCTTATGATATCGTTTACAGATACATAGGTTAACTGGTTCCAATGTTGAGGCATCAGTCTGAGTAAAGTATCCAGGAAGCAGCATCGTTATATAATTTTAAGGCAGTGAATTCCGAAGAAGCGACGGGTTATCGACGATGTGACTGCCAAGTACAACAACAAGACAATGCACCTAATGCCAACGGAAAAGAGACTGAAAACACTTAGGGGTTTACATTCATTTCAGGGGCTTTGCACCCGACCTCACCAGGCTTAAGAATTCCAAACACATAATTCTCAGTCTTAGACACCTCAGGCACTTATGGACTGCCACTTTTAGGTAGTCAGAAATCTGGGGTTAACTTGAAGTTATAAGAGTGGTTTAGAATTGAAGAAATTCAAAGTAGGTGGGTGTATAAATAAGTTTTTCGATAACAGAAGAAAAATCTAAACTTTAATTACACAGACTAACTACTAAGAAAGCATGACATTTATAATATATTATCAATGGGAGAACCCCTGTTTTTAACTGAGCTGAATACTTCCATATATTATACGCAAGCGACCGAAATTGTTCAGATTTCAGAATAGTATCAGTGAGAATAACTTAGGTTCTGGATGTCTGAAATGTTGTCGCTTTTGAATGTAGTTTCTTAACTGACAACTCCGACGAAGTCCAGTGTATCTTCGATCGTCCCTAGGTAGTGTATACATAATTTTGGGAGACAGTAATCGATTTATGTGGAAATTGTAACATCTTATTTTTGTGCAACATAATAAGGGGTTACATACCGCTTAAAATTACCATGCAACCCATGCATTAGTTCTAGCATATCAAACAGTTTCCTCATAAATTCAAATTTAGCGGTGTAAAGTAATACACAAGCATTGTACACTTGCCCGCCATTTTGGAGATTGGACGAAAACTGGTTTTGTGGGTTGGAACAATTTGTAGTTAGATCAGGAGGATTGTATGTTTGCATGGTGTGACACACATTCAGACGGAAAGTTTATCTAACTAAAAAGACAGTTTTGGGGACTCTTTGTGCATATGACTTCTAAAAGGCTACCTGCAGATACTTGTGGTAGGCCGTTTTACAAAATTGTGGTTGTTGGCGATGGAGGTGTTGGAAAATCTGCACTGACAATACAGGTAACGAAGCATAGTACTGCCCTAAGTAGTTAGTACTTTCAAAGAATGTTTCTTGAGGAGCATGATCCGACGATTGAGGACTCATACATTCAAAACGACGAAATAGATGACGAATGGTGTATTTTAGATGGTGAGTCTCAGGTCCTGCTTGTTTTCATAATTGTCTGGTTTTTTTAATTGTTTGGCAGCTCATGCATTTCAAGTTTAACTGAATGTCTGATTGTATTTCCTTAAAGTATCTAGAGAAGTAGAAATTGAAGTAATAAATGTTAATTTTTGCTCGATTGAATGACATCTCGAGAAAAATTAAACTTCTGTGCTTATACTATGTACTAGGATCTAGCTTTAATATTCTTCCATTCGATGCCATAAGTGACATTCGACATGTTTTCTGAATGCAGTTTCTTAGTGATGGATATTTTATACACTGGTTTTGCATTGATAAGCGATGAAATATGACCTTATATTAGAGTTTTGCAACGCTTACTTATTTTATTACTATGCACAAACATTACAGTCCTACATTTTTAGCTTTATAGTTGTCTTTTCATCATAACTTCGTCACTTGCTTCAGCTATTAAGTGGAAGTAAGTGAATTAAATCATGCCTATGGAAAATCACTACTTGAATTCAGCGTGTATTTTTCTGTTGAACTGGATGAAATATTTTAAAGTTGGGAGATGTTTGTTAGTTTGATTTTGAGTCAAACATATTAAACGTCTATTTAAATCACATAAGTTAAATACTCACTTATAAAAAGGTCTGTCACCAAACCTATTCTCCTATAAGTAGTGGTCTATTTCTGAAAAGCTACCGTGATTCTCAGCAGTTTCTCCCGAATCGATAGATGCTGGGTTCTCACCTCAGTTGCTGAGATAAGAAAGACAAGTGGAATACCTACAAAATTATATGATCCATCACGTACAGACCAGTGAGAGAGATAACCGTCGTTGAAATCTAGACTCAGAGTTAAACCGTTAACTTCAGGTTTTAAACAATCTGGAACGAGCAGTATTTCAAATATTGGTCAACTACAAATAAGAGTGTCTATAGATTTTGACTCAAAGCTGTCTGTTTCTTTGATAAAGTTATCACTTAAATCAATAAAGTTAGACATGACTCTTTTGATTGATCTCAGTCGTTCATCGCTTGTCTTTAGGGAAGAATGGAAACATTTTTTTGACTATGTGGTAACGGTTTAATCACAATTCTCACAGTGCTAGGTTCTATTTAGTGTTTTATTATTTAGAGGAAATATACTACGCAAAATGATTTGACAGCGCGAAAAAAGGAAGGGAAAAGAATTAAAAATGGCAAGATAAGTAGTTTCTTGAGGTATACCTTCCATGCTACATACCCTGTAGTAGGGGACAATAAACCTACAGCCCAACCATCACTGATTGCGATGAAGATACATTTCTGATAATTATATAAGGTAAATTATGTTATTCCGAATAGGCAGCACTTAATGATAATGATTGTCTGCTCTAAACTCGACATTTAGAGCTGGCTAAAGTTAAGTAACTATATGAATGAACTATAATGCAATATTTATTTGTGTTTAAAGCTTTATAACACAGAAGTCACTTCACCAACATATTATAAAAATTTACACTTCATGATTTAACGTACTGAGCTTTATACACGTTATTAGATTTGAAAATAGCTTACGTCATGTCTCTAGCAGATAGTTGTCATATAGACGCAAGATCAGATATCTAGGATAGTTAAAAAGTTATCGAAGTACAGCCAAAAACATTTAAGGCGAAGTTAAATTACCATAGGCAGAGTCAATGTTCGTCAAAAATTGACCCTCGAGAACCAATCAGATTTAAGGGACGCTATGAAAAGTCATTCTGTATCAAATCATGCCTCCTTTATTGATTTGGTGGAACGAGTTGTATGAAAACAGCAAATCTATGCTGTTAGGTAGGTAGGGTTAAGGTTAGGGTTGGGGGTAGGTTAAAGAACAGTCAGGAATACCAGTGAATCCTTTGTACCAAGATCTACAGTCACCTGGATGAAAACAGGTATCGTGTATGGAATGATTTCTCTACAGATTATCCTTGGAGTTACTGAAAGACTTACATACGACACATAAGAGACAAACATCCAGTGTAATATTGTGTTTTTAATATATTTCTTAACGATTATGTGACTTTCCTGATTGATTGTTCAAAATCACTGTGATTTTGGCTGTGATACTTTAACTTCACCACATTTTACGTTAATACCTTGCAAAAATAGCATCACGGTGGTGGTTTACGTACGCGTGAAGGGTTCATGCGAACCTAAACGTCAATCTAGAGCTAAAAATTAGCTATCATAATCTCAGTAATACGCATACATGTTCCAAAGGTTTTCTTCTTAATTATAGGTAGGCACGGGCTCCTGTCGATATTATATTTCATTATTCAATGATACAAGAGTGTACTGCACGCTTGGAAGTTGGCCATCCAATAATTCATTGGTAGGGTTTGAGACAACATCATATGTGATTTCGATAGTGAATGCTTTCTACTTGTATTAGACCAACACATTATTTGTTACCCACTAGCAATGTTCATAATTCATTTTTAACTGTTTCACAGATGTTTTCATGAAAGTTGCTTTTTTAACTAATAAAGGACTAGTATACCTAGGGGTTTCTTATTTGACTGCATAAATTGCATTGTCGTTCTAGTTAATTACTAAATTATGATAAGGTTTTTTTAATACCCTAGGAACAATTGTAAAATGTTTGGGACGCACTTCATATCTAACTTTCAAGATTTCATAGTCTAATTTGTTTGGACTGAAACCTAATGATTTCGTTAATCTCGTTTGGTAAGATGTTGTCTACTTTCAATGAAGTAGTGACCAACGAATTCTTGAATTAGGTACAAGAGAGTAGCTCTAATTCTGTTAGTCAACCACTTGTCACACTGGTAAGACCGTCTGAGTACTTACGAAGAGTAAAATGCATTACTCAACAGTTTTTTATGTGCTTGCAAAATAGGTGTGGCTTAAAGAATCTGTAAATGTTTGATTATCCTTGTGTTTGTAGCATTTCGGAACGACGAATGCATTTCCTAGTTACCCAGCGAGCTGCATAGATTGAAACTATTCCCCCTGGTATTCTTATCGTTTCTAAGATTTTGGGTAGGTGTAAAATTGGAAATATTTACTATCATATTGTGATTAGCGTGTGGTAGCAGTAAGGAATTCAAAAAAGATAGGCAGCATATCAGTTTCTTTTCTTCTGCGAAACAGCTGAATGCTGCGGGTCTAATGGTTGCGCTTTCTGACTTACCCTATAACTGTTCATCACCTACTGTAAGATTCCTCATGCGAATCATCCCTTAAGAGTTTTAATGCGTTCAGGTACGTCGTACTGACTTGTTTTTAAGTAGATGTCCGCTGGGTTATGTGGTGATGCAAGTATAATGCTTTTACTCTTTTAGTGTAGGCAAATAAAAATTTTCAATCTCATACATGTATCTGTCAGCATCCAAGGAGGAACCACTCTGTAGAAAATACAAAATGTCTAGAGTAGAGATTTGACCGAATGAGGTGTGCTGAATAGTAATGGAACTGGTTTTTAATAGCTGAAATTCAGGAAAGCATTAGTGATAATATGAGGTCAGGCGTAACACTAATACATAAATTTAATGAATGCTTATTTATATGCTTTAAGGAAATATTGGTTCGCTATTTGCAGTTTGTAAATAGTTTTTTAAGGTGTTGTAAAGATGTTTTTGAAGTCAATAGTAGTGGAAAAAGTGTATTGAAAACATCGGCGAAATTGAATGTTAATAGACAAACCCTAGACTTGTCACATTTCTTAATATTTCCAGTCTGCACACCTAAAGTTACCACATCAAGGTAAATGAAAATAAGCAAGAAGTCAAAGAAAGCCATGAAATACGTAGAAAAGTTAGAAGCAAGTAATGTGTGGTGTTGTAATCTAGACAAAGGCAAGGCATTCATACGTCTGCAAAGTTTGCTGGCACTGATAATCATGACTTTAATTCCTTACTTTTTTAAAGTATTGGATACTGCTGGTCAAGAGGAATTCAGTGCCATGCGAGAGCAGTATATGCGGAAAGGTCAAGGATTTATTATTGTGTATTCAGTTACGGATCCTCAAAGTTTTCATGAAGTTCGACGGTTTTATACACAAATTTTACGATGTAAAGACTGCGACTCCTACCCTATGATACTGGCTGCCAATAAAATCGACTTGGTTCAGCAACGGAAAGTTTCAGAAGAAGAAGGACAACGTCTAGCAGATGACCTGAAGGTTAGTTATTTTCCCCCCACCTTTTTTTCAATCTTTGACAAGCTTGTTCTGCTATGATTAAAATGTATTATTCGCCATGATATTCAATGGATTATATTAATTCGGAAAAATGTAAAATGATGGGCTGTTATAATTCTTCCTGAAGTTTCTGTTTATAAACCGTCACTGCAGCTGAAGTAAATATTCCTACTCACCGTATATCTCAACATAGTTTCAAGAGAATTAGGAGTAATTCAGGCAAAACCAGGTTGTCATCAATCCATTAAGTAGCTGTTGTTCTGAACTGTTGGAGAATATGCGTTTGACTGTCAGCAGCCACCAGGATTTGTAAATAGTAGTGCTAAGAATCTACGGCTGGAGTGGATGCATATATATTTAAGTTGCAATATCACATTTCATTGCTTGTTTCCTGTTTTGTTTTGTGGCATTACACGATTTCGACCCAACTCGTTGCCTCCATTTGAGCACCTGGTATGTGATGTCAACCAACGGTCTCCTCAGCATATGTTCATTCCATTCCCACTTCATTCTTTATATTTGTTGGATAACAGGCTCTTGGCTAGTTTGCTGGGAGAATTACTTGTCGCTTATAATTTCTGGACATCTGACCTGAGGTGTCCACTTAAGCCATTTATTCATAAAAGTTTGCAGTTTTCTGGGAATGGTTTTGGTGACGCGAGCACCAAGTCCATGAACCATATAGAAGCATTGACTTGGTATTAATCTTGAAAATTCTGATCGTATTCTATGTGCTTGGTGCTGTCAATTTTCACCTTATTTAAGAGTAGTAATATCTTTTCCGTCCCTGCCTTTGACATCTTCATTCGCACCATCTGTTGTTGAAGCGATGCTGTCTAGTTAGGTGAAATAAATGACGTTTCATATTTCTCCAGTCGATAGTGTGTGGTACTTGTTTTTTTTTAGGAATCTCCATTACCTCTGTCTTCTCTATGTTCGACGGAATCCCTGTCTTTACTACTTCTTCTACCAACCTGTTTGTTTTCGTTTATAAATCTTCAACTTTTTGCTGTATGAGACATAAGCAATCCAGGATGTCCACATCTTCCAGGGCCTTTCTGTTGGTTCAGAGCACACGCGTGTTTTCACTCCCCAGTCCGCCACAATTAGGAAGATTGTTGGTGATAGAAGGCGACCTTGTCATACTCATGTATTCGCTCCAAACATTTCGGTGGGCTACCCGTTGTAACTTGGTATGTGGTACTATAATACAGCTGTTCAATGAGTTTGTTAAAAGTTTACAGCACTCTGTAGTGTTGAGATAGCTACCAATTTACTTCACAGTTGACGGTGTCGATGGTCTTTTCAAAGCCTCAGAAGTTGGGGTAAAGAGTTTACCTTCGTTCTATGTTTTACAGTGATGCATAGCGATGCAGTTGATTCGAATGGGAGTAGTTCCTTCTCAGTCTAGTCTGTCCCAATGGAGGTGTTCCATCCAGGGAATCTTTTAGTCTTTCGAGGACTATGTAGCTTAATATTTTGCTTGGATTAGACAGGAGCACGATTCAGCGCCATTTCTTGCCTAGGTTCAGATCACCCTACTTTAGCAGTTTGACAAGGTGGCCCTTATTCTAACCAGAGGGTACCTAGGCTGCCTCCTCACCGTAATGGTATCGTGTGCATGACCACTGTCTCTGAATCCATTTCGTGTGCTTCTGCGGGAAATTCATCTGGCTCAGCTGCCCTACTGGCTTTATAGCCTTCAAGACTTCTGTTTTTCTCGGATGGTCAGTTTTCACTGGTAGCTTCTGCGTCTGCTGGCTTTGTTTGAGGATAAGTTACGGGTGGCGGTTGATTCAGCCCGTTTTATCTGTTCCGTCAATTAAGTAATTGGATTCCCTTCACTATCTTTCACTGGGTTTATCTGTGTTTATGTCTTACTGGATGCCTGTCTCACTTCAGTTTCCAATGTATCGTAAAGCGTCTTTTATCTTTCCTAGCGCCTTTCTCCACTTCTTTGTCCATTGTGCCGTCAAGTGAAATCAGTTTTATCTTTTCGTTGTTTAACTTTACACAGGTTCCTATTCTGCTTCACCATCCTCTTTTCCATCAGCTCCCAGGTGTGTTTAGTGAGTCATTCCTTGTCTTCCCCGTTCTTCTTGATAATGCATGTTATATGGGTTTCCCTCCACATTTCTTTCAGAATGTGTTCCATTGTTCTAACATGCAGTTTTCCAATATAATGTTGATTAATGCCTCCAACTTTTTATGGATGATCTCTATGAAAGTATTATTCTATTCCTTTACGTTCCCAGTGGGACAAACTATAGACTTGAAGTTTCGGTAGCAGTGGTATTTATTTTTACGGGATAGGGTTGCTAGCCCCATGCCCGACATCCCCTCTGTACCAGTCTTATTACTGGTTTAGCGGGATAAAGGAGTGCGTCGGCCGGGGATCGAACCCCGGACCACATCCGTGGTCGGCGAGCATTCTACCGCTGTGCCACCGACACACTCTGTGAAAGTGTACTTTATAGTTTTTTCCTTCAGTTTCTGAGTGCCGAATTTCAGTTTATCTCCAGTCTCTTTGGAGGCTTTCAAGTTGATGTTAAAGGTTTCTTGCAATAAACAGTAATGTGAAGCTATATCTGCTGCTTTTCTCGATTTTGTGTCCAGTAGGCTGCATTCCCACTCTCTGAAGATGGATGTGAAGTCTGTCTGGATTTTGGTGTGCCCATCTAGTGAAACCTTGGTCGCTAATAGCTTCGCAGTCTGTCCCCGTTTTCTCTACTGCCGTTATAGGTATCACTAATCATACCACTTACTGTACAAGTAGATGAAGAGAGAATGACCTTTGATATTTCCATCTGAGGTCTTGTCCATTAATATCTTCAGTTGCTTGTAGAGGTCATCTTTCTCCCGGTCTGTTTTGTTTGTAGGTGTATGGCACCGTATAATTGTAGCTTTCCTTGCTTCGAGGCTAAATTTTGCTGTCATGACCCTAGAGGAGATTGGCTCCCACTGTGTGATAGCCTTCGATGCTGTTGGTAAGATCATAATGGCCACACAGTCGGTGTGTTCGCGGTTTTTTTGCGGGTGATCGGAACGGATAATCAACTCTCTAGTTAACAATTTAGAGAATCTTCTTCCATTCCATCTAACATCTGATATCTTTTCATTTCTTGTGCGACTTCAGCAACCTTACAAGCATAAAACTTGGTAAGGATATCATATGGCCTTTCGCTTTCATCGGTTGAATATATATCAACCGATTGATTTGCCCAAAGGTTGCTAATTGCCAGTGTTATTTGTCATCTCCGATTCAAACGGGGAATAATTATTTGTTCTGTGCTTCGGTGTTTCAGAAGGGGTGGGTTTTTTCACAGTACGGGTACAGAGTGCTGTCAATGTTGTACCTGTTTATCACACTTAGGCGTGCTGTACTTATAGGCACTGGACACCATTTTCATTGCTTAATTGCGAAGAATGGGACTACATCAGTATCATCCATCTGACCTGTATAATACCCTGAGACTACTCACCAACGGTCGTACCAGGTGTCCATTATAGGACAATATTACGTACGAGTTAGGTCTCAAATTAGTGTGGTGGCCGTCTCATGTTTACATCTGACTAACCGAACTTCTATGAAATGTAACAACTTGAGCTGATGATACTCTTTTATTCCAAGTTCTATGTTCATAATTCACTTCAATTCCGTATATAAATTGCCGACTGGTGTGAATGATTCCCAATTACGTTCACCTAATGGTACTGGTTATATATTACTCTTACCCATATGTTGTTTATGGTTTTTGACTTAAGAAAATTTATTTGCTACCATGATTATTCATGTTATTCACTAATAGGAGAGGGTGTCGATGGCATAGCGGTTAGGACACTCGCTGACCATGCACATGGTCCGGGGTTCGATCCCCGGCCACAGACGCACTCCTTTACCTCGCTAAGCGAGTAATAAAAGCTGATAAAAGGAAAGGTTGGACGTGAGGTTAGCGACCCCATCCTGTAAAAATAAAACACTGCTACAGAAACTTCAAGCCTCTAAGTCGAAACCCTATGTTCCACCGGGAGCGTGAAAGGACAAGAAAGAAAACTAATAGGAGAATTCATTATTCACGTCAGAAGTGTGCACGGCTTAGATGTTAAATAATAGTGTAAAGCCTTTTCGTCTTCCAGTCTGTTGATAGTATATTTTTACTGTTAGCCTAGATTTTTAGGTTATAGGATATTTTCTTACAGCCAGGACAATAAACATTATAGGCTGAAGTGAATTCATCTGATTTTATACCTTCTAAATCTTTCATAGACTCATTTAATTTATTAAAATGGTGTACGACATCTGTTATTTTCTGATGTCATTCATTGTGGAATGCAAATAATTTGATACAATAAAAAAAATGAGTTCAATTCATTCGATAAAATGTGTGTTTTTGTTGCACTTCAAGAAGAAAAGAAAAACTAAAATTTTCCTCTAGAATTTTTTTTATTTATGAACTCAGATTTTCTCACTTTTTTTCGTACTAAATTCCATTCAGTTTCAGTAACGTCATGCTTAATCACTTTTCCGCTTTAAAAAAAAACTATTTTAGGTCCCTTATATCGAAACTAGCGCAAAAGATCCCCCGGTCAATGTAGACAAAATGTTTCACGACATGGTACGAATTATTAGGTAGGTTGAAATATTCATTCATTTTATTAAAGTAATCACTGATTCAAATATGATAGTGTTATGACAGGACATAAGATTGGTCGGTAAAAAAAGCGTATATTTGCAATTTCATATACACATATATACCATTTATTAATTTATCATTTACACAGATCTTCTGTATTGTGCTACTTCTGCCCTTCGTATTGTGTTTCTTTGTCTTCTCTCCATATCTCCTATGTTTCGCTGCAATACTGCTGCATTTCCTCTCTTTGACATCAAATCTGTCTCTCTGCTATTTGATATTTTTGTGCCTACGAATGACTCTCCATATACTACTAGTGAGGCAGTTGGCAGGAAACCTAGGACCTAGTTCTCGTAGTAGTTGACATTTATCAGCAAGGCGCAACCTTGAAGGAACTCATATCCTTTCGGAGATTCGAACCCACGTCACCCCTTGATGCAATCAAAGACGTTACCACTGAGCTATTCAGGCTCGCGACTGTTCTCTTTGTAGGACTGTATTGCATACACTAGTTAGTCCAGAATACAAGCACCAAATGATGTTCAAATAATGATTTTTGATTATCTTTATTTTTTTCATAAATGAAAGAGAGAGAGAGCAGAAGAAAAGAAGACATGTGATACTGAGTGTATGAAGTCTCTACCCGTCTTCATTTGTATTTGTTGCTTTTGTGTACTACAATTATTTTCTGTTTATTCAGTTTCATACATCACACTCGTTAACGGATAACAAACGATGATCGTAATTACTTGATGCATGCGTCAAACAGGTTTGCCTTCTGGATTATATATATATATATATTTGGGAGGTTTTATCAACCCAAATACCACTGATTACTGACAAAATCTTAGCACCGAGACAAAAAGCTTATCCAGTATTCGCTAACATACGTCGTCTCTAGCGTAGACATGATATCTAACTGTCAATCAAAAGACTTGCGTGTACTGCGTAGCGGTGCGCTCTGGTGATAAGATGTGGCCGTTGGAAATGGAAAGAGACCATTTATGTCTGGCCACATGCTTGCATCCTATCTTCTGTGTTAAGTGTTGTGATGATGTGATGTGTTGAGGTAAGGTAAAGGGTGTTAAGTGAAGAAGACAAGTCAATTGGATGAGGTGAAGCTGCATCGATTCGGATGGCTAAGACACTTGATACACACATATATTGAGTCATCACCTTCCTCATTTACCAAAGTTAGCTGAGTTAGTATTAGTTTGGAAAAGAGTTAGGGCTGGTTAAACCATAATCTAGCATCAATCTATATACGTATGGCCCAGATTGGATAGTATTTAGTGCGTCGGTGGCATAGTGGTTAGAACGCTCGCCGACCATGCACATGGTCCGGGGTTCAATCCCCGGCCGACGCACTCCTTTACCTCGCTAAGCCAGAAATAATGCTGATGAAGAGGAAAGGTTGGGCATGAGGCTAGCAACCCCATCCTGTAAAATAAGCACCACTGCTACAGAAACTTCAAGCCACTAGCTTGAAGCCCTATGTTCCACTGGGGAACGTGAAGGAAATAAAGAAAATGTATCTACGATGTCTGTCACAATGGTTAGAGCCATGTATGCAGTGTGAAACTGAATGAATGTACGTTTCTTCATTATTACTGTAGCTAGTCAACTGACTAGTGTTTTTACTGTTAAAAAAACAACTTCTGAGTCTCTATCTTTATTGTTTTGTTTCAGACGACAACCACCTCCGCCTCCATTAACATCATCAAAAAGTGACCGTAAAAAAGTCCGTTGCCTGTTATTATAACACATTGATAAAATTGTACTAACAGTTTTTTTATATTGGCATATGAAGTGAATGGTTTTCACACATTTGTGTATTTTCCTCCTTGTGGATATACCTTTACCTTTTTAACAATGTATCAGTGATGTGTAAGCTTAACTTCCTATTTCTGTCCTACCTTTTTTTCACCTTTATTAGTTTTTACTATGCTTTTCTGTGTGTGTGTGTGTGTAGATATATATGTGCGTGGATGAGGAAGGACTGCAATTGTTCAGCTGTTATATCCTATCAGTGTAACGTGTGAGATTGAGTGCCCTTCTCTCAGTTTTATTATTTTCTCTTCACACTATGCCCTTCATTTTCAACTGCTTTTAGCATCTATCTATTCTGTCTGTATGTGCACTCAATCAGTGCTGTATTGTGTTGAAATTGCGCCACTTTCGCTAGTTGTTGGTTCTGTTTCTCTCCTTCCCTTTTCCGTCCGCCATATATATATATATATATATGCATATATAAGTACACAGTTAACACACACATTTTTGTACAGCATTCGTTTGTGATTTATAATTTTATAAATAAGTGAATAATGGATAAGTGAAAATTATCTCAAGAACTGTTATGTAATTATGTTGTACGAATATTTTTTGAATATTCTTTTTCACCAATTTATAAAGCTAATCTTTCATATATATATATATATATATATATATATATATATATATATATGGACTCCGTCCATCTCCTACCACACACATGTCCTTTTATATTTTCACTTAATAATCGACCTCGGTGTTTCAGGTTCTGAATTTTTTTTCATAATTTACCCTTGATAATTGTTTATCACAATATAGTTGTTTTTTTTTCTCATGAAACCTGTGACGTTTAATTAAAGTAATTCTAATAACTTGTTGCTTTCTCGTACAGTGGAGATCGAGTATCCGGGCTAAATTCAGCCGTGTATACTTTATTTTGTAAATCTTTACAGTGTTTTTTGTCTTCCCCCCCCCTAACTACTGTTATATTTTGTAATATTCAGGCGTGTTGCAAAAGAAAAGCTTTTGTACTCTGTCGTGTTGTATATCTCTCTCCTCTTTTTGCCTTGGTTTTTTTGCAAATATGAAACACTTGTGTCTTGATAAAAACAGCAATGACGTCGAAACATTCGCATATATATGTATATGCATGTACTGATAAAATAGCAAGTATTATCTGATCAAGGGGGTGAGTACTTATTTATTTCTTGTATTCACAATTTCCAGCCTGTATTCTGTTTTGTCTCCACATTCATTTCTTCACTTCTCTATTCGTCCTATTTTTGCTACCTATCGGTCGATCGTGTTTATCATATAAATGCTGTGCATTTCTATTAAAATTACTGACTGTGAAATTGTTTCTTCTGAGTGAAAATCACATTTGGTTCTCTTTCTCTTTTGTTATCTTTGTTATGCATCAGTTGGTTGACGTCTAAACATGAAGTTGCCTTCCGTTATTCTTCTAAGAGTGATGATGATAGCTCTGCATTACATGTGTATGTTTTCTCTCTCTCTCGATATCTGCTGCACTTAACTAACTGCATAATTTCTCTAGGCATGTTACATTATTATTATTATGATGATTATTTGCTTCATTATAACTCTGGAAAACAAACTTAGTTAGGATGGAATTTTGTCGTCATCATAATGAGAATCTAGCGGAAGAAGTTTGTGTGAATCGTCTTGATATTACTGTAGTGTAATATGTTACACTGCATTACCACCACTTTTAAGATGACATTTTTAAATAAGGTAGTCTCATTGGTGATAATCCCTTCATATTTTCTAATGGCCGATAAGAAAATGACAGTTTTGTCAACCACTTGCATATTCTGTTTCAATTACTTTTGAAGGCATTGATGTCAGGGGTTTGCAGTCTAAACTTATGGCCTAATCACTGTCAACATCGTTTTATAAGAAAATTTGAAAATTCTCTCGTTCCAATTCACATATGCGGTAGTAGCTCGAAATGTACCATCGAAGCTTTTATTCAACCTTTTCCTTTTGAAATGCAAAAGGATGCAGTAGATGTGGCTTTTGTGTCGGTCAGCATATTATATAGGTGTAAGTTTGCCTTAATGCATTTTTATTAGCTCCGTGTGATGTGCGACTGACTAAAAGGCTTTTGTCTGGTGATCAGCGAACAAATAGTAGACTACTGGAGACTTGACGACTTCAAACTCTTTTTATACATGTAGCATGTCAATCATTTTTCTGGGAGTGTATTCTAAGATACTTTCATCCTACTTGTATCAGTAAGTAGTTTGTAGATAGTTAGTTTTTATGAATGAAGTCATAATAAGGAGCTATTTGCACGTAGCAGCTTTTGGCAATGAAGCATACCGTATTTGTAAAAGGTGGTAGTGGTAAGTTAATTTTATTATAGCTTGATTCCACACAGTATTCTGGTACAAGTATGAAATTTTCAGCATGTGATATCGGTAGCCTAAATTTAGCAGGCCGACCATAGAAATCAGGTGTCCGTCGGCGGGGGATCGAACCATGTGCATTGTCGGCGAGAGTCCTAACCACTGTGCCACCGACGCTGTGGCTGCTCAAACTTCAATAAATGAAGCGAGGTTCGAAATTGAGGGCCTAGATCGGTCAACCACAGTTCTGCGAAAAACACTGCTGCCATTCCAAACAGATAGCTGCTATTTTGACGTGATGGTCGGGCATGTATACCGCTACGATCCAGCGAGCTACACTGGTTGTAGCTAAATGTTCCTAGAGGTCCTACCATGCCAGATAGTTTGTCAGGTTAGCGACTAAACTAAAAGCAGTTACCGGCACAGTGTAAGATGTCTAAACTATGGTGAGAGTTTGTGGGAAAAGTCGTATTGCTTAGGAACAGGGATGTAATGGATAGTTCGCGAGGACTCGCAGGTGTAGGGATAACATTGAATGGTAGGACAGGAAAATCCCTACTCCATTGAATCCCAATGGGTAGTCGTATGTGTGCTATCTGTCTTGACGGATCTGTTAGAAGGAAGGACTGCGTTACCCATCCATGTTTTCTCATAATCTCCGCCTACGCCCCAACCAACTTTAGTTCGGAAAAAATAAAGGATGACTTCTATCAAAAGCTATCCAGTCAGCTACTAAAAGCAAACTGTCCAGATGTCATCGTTTTAGCAGGTGACTTTAGTGCCTAAACAGGAATTCTGTGTCATTTTGAGAAGTTTACTGGTGGCATCTGAGTTCATTCTGATAAATCACACAGTGTTGTACAGTAATATTAACTGATGACGTTTCGAGCACATAATCATATCAACTTGATATGATTATGAGCAATACTTTGTGCTCGAGACGTCATCAGTTAATATTACTGTACAACACTGTGATTTATCAAAATAAAATCTTATCCATAATGGAGTTATGCTCTACCACAGTGCCCAAGTTTTATACTTATATCAATGGCATCTGAGTTCCTTATCCACGAACAGACAACGGTGATCGCCTTCTACAATTCTGTCCAGATAACCTGGCCATCACTAACTTTAAGCACAAAGAGGGATATTGCCTAACCCCCATCGTCAAATCAACGATAGACCACATAGCGATAAGTTATCGTTGGCGACTGTCGGTAGGTGAGTGCCGCTGCTAATGAAACACGTGCATAGACTCCGGTCAAGCCCTGGTCCGTGCACGTTTATGCTTAGGATTGAATGGACGTAGGAAACATGGTAATATAGCCGTTACGCCCCGAACTTGATCAGGAAATTGAGTCCCGAATTAAGGAAGAAATAGCTAAACACGCATCTGAGATTGACAACAAGACTCATCTCGAAGAAGCCTGGTACGGTATCCAGTTGTCTGTACATACAGCTGTAAAGGCTTTTAATAACTTAACACCAAAGTTTAGTAAAAGCTAGTGGATTTCTACTACTTCCCATTTTACGAACTGATAGACACACGAAAGCTCATTCCGGGCACTCCGAATATGATCAAGAGAGAAAGCTGCTAAAACACAAACTGACAAGAAGTTATCGCAACAACCATGAACAGTGGTGGGTGACAAGATATGCGAAAAACATCGGTGATAGGTAACACCAGAAAAACAAATGACCAAAGGTAAATTCTAGACGAAACGATCTCTGAGGAAATTGGTGCCCTGATTAGCTCTTGTGATAGACGACGGAAAATTTGACTGGTCTACAGGCATACTCAACTTGCCAAGCTTCGAAAACATACTTGGATGGGATGTAGGTATGTAACTGAGGTTACACAGTTCCATATTATTTTGTTTATTAGATTTATCACACAGTGAAACAGTATTATTCACTGGATGACGTTTCGGACATTATTTGTGCATAATTATATCAATTACAAAGTCTGACTCCAAACTGGGATGAGGCAAAGCACCAGGACCTGATGGAATAACTCAAGAGGTGTGTAAAGACGGTGGTTTTTGGTATTCCAATCCTAAGTTGGATTAATCAGTCCTCGAAAGTTGCATTCAATAGTGAGTTACCCAGAGAAAAAGTACCTATCAATGGGACACGTTTCCTAATGATACAAAAATTTGTGATAAGTTACTTATAGGTTGTGTTCACCAACTTTTGTGTACTTACGTTGATGAGCGCTTTATTGAATATATTACGAAAACCTGAGTATATGGGAACCCACTTAGTGTTGAAAATTCTATTTAATAATAATAATAACAATAGCTTTATTATGCACAATTTTCAGCCTAGTTTATTACATAATATTTACTCTTCATCCAGGAGTTTCAAGTAAAACGGCCACCTTCAGTACATCATGTGACGCAGTGATATTAGATCTGAAGAATAAAATTATCCACTACGGCACTTTTCGTTGGTCGCATAGAAATGGTCAGCGACAGGCTGCGAACCAATTAAAAATGCGCACAAGTATATTTGAAGAATTTCGTATTTCTAATTTATTTCTTGTGCGTTGAAGTTCCTCTAGCAGTTTGATAGCTTTTGTGGTTTAGAGTTGCTAGCCCCACGCCCAACCCTTCCTATTTACCTGCGCTTGGAACCGACTGGAAAACTATAACAGAGTGGAGATGTGTTGTTGAAGTCTTATTTTCCACTAGGAACCCAAGGGAATAATAATATAATAAATTTGGAGACCCGCAGATATAACTATATGATTATGACGACAAGAACTAAAGAAAATAAGATGCACTGTCTCGGATGGAAGTTCAGGTAACCCAGAGATTCAAGCAGGCCATCTGACTGTAGAAACACTGAGTATTTTAACATGGTCAATAAGTAATATAATTCCCCCGTACTTCACACTATTTAGAAGCCATGGATATTCACAAACACTCTGTGATTAAGAACAAATCACTTTCGTAAACGCATTTTGTTTCCTTCAGTATCTTAAACTTTTATTTTGATCTTATATTTCCCATGGATTCAACGTGTTTTATTAAAACATTTCGGTTGTTATGGTAACAACTCAACACTTTTGTCTACTTTACCTAATGTGCTTATATTGACTCTCTTGAACAAGCTTCTATATTGATAATGTCATACAATACATCTTTTTTTCCTCTGGAACCGACTACCTCACTAGACGAATTACGAGGAATTACACAGATATTTTAATCTAAATTAGCTTGTGGTGTGCTGACAAGAATGTGATGAAATATCAAGAATACAACATATTACTAAACATTATTTCCAGGCAAATTTAGATTTTTGAATTAAACTAAGTATATGAATTCCAGTGAAATATATTTCCAGTACCTCTTTGTTTTTCTGTGATCCTGTAAATGAAGCCAGTTAGTGATCGAACATAGACAAGACGGAGGTTATGAAAATAACCAACCAACAGCAACATCCAACTCCAATCACCATCAACGGGAGAGATTTGAAAGAGGTTACTTCATTCACTTATCTAGGGAGCATTGTCTTAACTACAGGAGGAACGGACGAGGATGTCAAATCGAGAATCAGGAAGACGAGAAATACATTCATCAACCTGAGACCAATCTGGAAATCTTCGTCAATCAGCATCAACAGCAAAATTCGGATTTTCAATACAAACATCAAGTCAGTCAGTTCTTCTATACGGATCAGAAACGTGGCGGGTCACAAAAAATATTTCCAACAGCCTGTTGCAGACCTTTATCAACAACAACTGTCTTGGCTCTATACTGAAGATTAGATGGCCGGGTGGAAAGAATCACCAACAAGAAACTATGGGCAAAAACAGAACAAGAACCAATCGCCCAACAAATATGCAGGAGAAAGTGGAGATGGATTGGACACTCGCTGAGGAGGCCGTTGGGTGACATCGCCCGTCAGGCCAACGCTCGAGTGGAACCCGAAAGGGAAGCGGCGAGTGGGACGTCCAAGGGTGACATGGAGGAGATCGTGTGAAGAGGAGTTAAAACAGTATGGACTAACATGGATGCAGGTGAAAAGTACAGCAGAAGACAGAAGCAAGTGGAGACGTGTAGTTGAAGCCCTATGTTCTACTAGGAACCCAAAGGAACAATAATAATAGTAATAATAATAATGATCGAACTTGAAATCTCTGCAGATCAACACTTGTAAATATGTTTTGTCGGTTGCTCTCAGTTAGACTATTACTCATCTGTGTGGTATCACTTAGGTGAGTGAATGTGAGTATTCATAGCATAATTCTTCACATCACAATCAGACAATCAAAGAAATGTTTGACAAACATTGTGTAAAATAACAATTATTAGAAAAGAAAAATAACAATAGCAAAGTTCTTCTTATTATTATTATTTTAAGACAGTCAAGAGAGCAAAATGATAGTTTTACTCATCATATCTACTTATCAAATGATATAAAGAAAAAGAACTCACAAGTGATCAAAGTAAATTCTGAGAGAAAATAGACTGTCAAGAAACCAACCATAGTAAACACCGAATTTTCAAAGAATAAATTGTCAATAACTTATCAAGTACAATATGTCTATATATAATCACTTCATGCTATTCCACTAAATTTTAAAATAATCAATTTGTAGAAAAATAAATACAATTTAGATGATAAACTTGTCTCCGGTCTAGATATCAAGCCGATGGGTATCTATAATCATTAATTACCCTTCAACCGCTCTAATTGAGATTTAAAGTTCATATTGATACAAACATTTCTCGTATTGTTCACCGTAGTATAGGCTTCTTTATAAGAATAATTACAAGCTTGAATTAAATAACCAATAACAATAGATGGTGCACGTGAAAGACCAGCTTGACAATGTATATAACAACAGCCTCCTTTTTCTTTGACACTGTTTAAAAAGTCACAACACTGATTAAGAGTATCGTGTAAATCAAATGTGTAAGTATCATATGCTACAAGAGCAAGATATTCAAATGATTTAGGAAAGTAATTTGGCACAACATTAGAAACTAGATTAATAATATGCGTTACGTTGTTATCTTTTAATAATTCCAAGTTTTGAGCGACATCAGCTGAACCTATACAAATAGGAAAAAGTATTATCTAATATCCTGCCAATGTAAAGTTGGCTTACCGAAAAGAATTGTCAAGCTAGACAGATTAATTTTTCCTATTTGTAGATCAGGCTCAAAATTTGGAATATAACCATAACAAGAAAAATTTGGTTCTGGACGATCAACTTTATCATCACTTTTAGTCTCTAAACCGTATTTATCGTTTATAATGACTGATCCATCCAAGCAACGGGTTTCAACTAAAGTTGGTTTTAAAGATTTTATATTGAACTTTTCAATTGCTTCTTTGATATCCATTATGTCAATAATAAACTCTTACAATCTACTTCCTAAATAAACGAAAAACAAACACAACATTCAATATGGGGAAAATTGGCTTAATAGACGGAGGAATTTCATATTAAATTCTATGAAGCCATGATTTATTAGACTGAAAACAGGCAGGATTCACTTTTAGGTCCTACTCCACTTGTTTTAATCAGAGAAACGCTTTACAATCATTAAAAATTTGAACAGAGAACAAATATTGGTACAGAATAATACAAATCCATCTTATTTCGTCGGTTGTCTTCAGCTGCGTACAGCAATAAACCTGGTTGCCATACATTTTGTCCTTCAGCAAGGATTGTTGTAAGTCATGGTGATGAATCAACAATAATTGAGTAACCAAAGATAAGAAAATACAATGACTAACATTCATAAGGTTGAAAAATCAAAATTTGGTGTAAACGAAGTTGACTTTAAAAGATGACCTAATACAGTGAGGGGAGTTCAAAGGTTCGAGAATTAAATCTTATACGAAGGTCATGCGGAAAATGAGAGTTACCAGGGTAACTGATGTTAAATGACAGATTCGTTTCAATCACAGAAGTCAGGTTCCTGTTGTTTTATTACGGCAGCTTCAGCAAACGAAAGACTTGGTCTATTTTGTCTGTTAACTATTTTGAATGTTGCTGCTGGATTCAACATAGAACTTGGCACCGAAGTGCAGCAGTTCGAGTTGCCACCTTCCAAATAGCACACAAAGGTAGACAAGAAAATGAGAGAAGAGAATCAATAGAATTTAGATAAGTAAGAGTGAAACAGAATGAGTAATGGTAGAAAGGAATATGAAGGTTAAAGGGACTGAATACATCTGCGCCATTGACAACGATTTTGAGCCATGTCACCTAGTGTCTCCAGCCATTGATTCTTAGAGTCCCGAGGACCCCAACCCGGAAGTCTGCATCTCCCTACCTGACTCAGTTTAACTGTCAGGGATTTCATGGATTGATGAGGCCATGTTTTTGTTTGGCCACCACTTACTCTTTTCCAACCTGCACCTATATCAGCTAGTAATGCCCGTCGGGGGAGACGATGGTTAGGCGTGCGCAGCACGTGGCCTAACCATCCCAATCTATGTAACTTCATAGCCTCTTCGAGTGATTTTCCCTCTTTGCCCAACACTCTACGCCTAACGTCAACATTACTTACCTTATTATACCACCTAACGCGACAAAGAGATCGTAAACATCTGTGGTCAAAAGCAGACAATTTCTTCATGTCTTCCGCTCTCAATGGCCACGTCTCACCGCCATAGAGAAGGACGGAGCGAACTGATGAGCAGTATACACGTCCCTTGGTTGACAGTCGGATGTCACGCCTACGCCAGAGACGGTGTAAGTTAGCGAAAGCAGCTCGAGCTTTCTGGATCCGTGCTGTGATTTCGTCACCAATCAATCCGTTGGTGTTGATACAACTTCCCAAATAGGTGAAGTGGTCAACATGTTCTATCACTTCACTCCCTATCATTAAGCTAGGAGTTGACGTAGTCCAGTCCTGTAGCAGCATCTTATATTTTACAGGGGCGAATCGCATGCCAAACATACGAAGATTGCTGCTCAAGGTGTTCAGAAGACTCTGCATTTTGTCAGCGTCCTCCCCTAACAGGACTATGTCGTCTGCGTATTCTAAGTCTATAAGACTATTCCCTGGTAACAAGTCGATTCCTAAGTCGTTAAGTTCAGTTAAGGATACTTCCATTAGCATATCTATGATGAAGTTAAACAGAAAAGGGGAAAGTGGACATCCTTGACGGACACCACTGGTTGTTATCAATTCAGATGACAATTCCCCATAAGCCCTTACACAGCTACGTGAGTTTGAGTAGAGTGCCTTGATTAGTGCAATGTACTTTCTTGACACTCCCTTCACAGTCAAACATTGCCATAGTACCTCTCGATCCACGGAGTCGAAAGCCGCCTTCAAGTCAAGAAATATGGCAATTGTTGGACGCCGAAAAGTGTGTCTATGTTCTAGGATTTGTCGGAGAGTGAAGATATGATCTATGCACCCTCTACCTGGCCTAAAGCCCGCTTGATTTTCCCTCGTTTGTTCCTCCCGAGGTCGGCTTAGTCTGTTCATGATTACTGAGCCTAGGATTTTAGAGACTATGTTCGTTAAGCTGATCCCCCTATGATTATCACATGACGACTTGTCTCCCTTTTTGAAAATCCGTATAATAAGTAACTTACCCCAGTCTGATGGAACCGTCTCTGAATGTCCCCATGTGTCAACTAGGTGTCCTTTGTGGGAACTTCAGATAACCTTGTCATCCTTATGTTTTGTTCCACTATGACTTTCTTACAAGTTTTTACCGGAGGACTGACTGTTGATGACAAACAAAATATATGCAGTAAATGCGTGGTAACCGATTTTATTAAATGTTCTAGGTTGTACGCAGATGAAGAGAACCGACGAAATAAAACGGATCCACATTATTCTGCACTAATGTTTGGTTTATTTTTGTTCAAATTTACACAGGGGAATTCGTGTATATCTTTTAAAAAAAACCTGTGTTAGGTGAGTGAATTCTTAAACGGCATTATTATTATTTTAAAGTCTGTGCTGAAGATACCTAGAAGGACATCAAAAGACTCATAAGTCATAAAAGCGACTATTAATCTTTTATTTCTCTTATTAGCAGCATAAGAAATAGGAAATCTAACTTGATGAATCACAAAATAAAAAATGAAATATCCACAAACGTGTCTCGTTTGTTCAGAATAAATTTGTTGGTCGTTCACTTTAAACAGTATATTGAACACGACAGTTTCCAAATCCTGAGTATGCTGAGAAAATCGTTATACTTCCTGCAGAGCTCATCCATGAGCACAAGTGATTCTACAACTGATGTGATATCAGTTGACAAGTGAAACAGTAACCGAATAAGTATTTTAACAGCTAAATAATAAAACAAATGGGCTAAATATAAAGTTTTTTAGATTGGAAATAAAAATTTCTTTCGCTGTTTACATACGGAGCCGTTTCTCTTGAAAGGTTGTAAGGGTGTCCTGATATCTTTTAACCCATCGAATAAATGCAACTAATTATGGACTACCACTTATCGGCAATATATTCCAACTAGTTTTTGACATAAAATGACACTATACAACTTAATAAATGCACGTAAAATGTTATAATCCGTATCCAAAACCACAATATTAGTCACTACAACCCTTAGATGGGATTTAATTCAGTAGGTGATATTTTCCTATTGACAATCACAATTCATTCCCATTTTCTTCTGACAATTTTCGAATCTAATATGAGTTCGGAGTACTACATTTTCACTTAGTCATCAACTATTCAAACCGACTTCTAGAAGTGATGTCCACATCTGTCGGGGGGAATACAAAAGCACAGACTCTCACAAGAATAATACTAAAAGTTCTGAAGTCTCCCATGATCAACAAAATATATGAATAATATCATCCAGACACAAGACTGTTTCCAATTTTATTTCAGTATGTATACATAGGCCGGACATTACAGTTATGACGCTGACCACACTACCATAATGCCTTCATTCTTAAAGGGGGTCATCGAGAGTGAGACTGATTAAATACGTCTAAGAACATAAGCAAAAACTTACCTAAATACTGTGCATCGTGATTGACATGACCGGGCAGCCCGTCGACGGTCGTGATTTCGTGTGCCCGCTAGTGAGGTGAACTCGGCCGGACTTACCCCTCAAGGTCATTGGTGGAGAAAGACATCTGAAGGTCATTTTCGTCCATGTTAGTCGGCAATATTGGATTGCAGTTCCCTAACCGTTCGCTCACACATTAGTTTTAACGTTTTTCCTGCAGTTATTCACAACTTATCTTGATGCATATTGTTCACAAATGTTGCGTTTCACCTCAATTTTGTTCCCGCTGCTGTTAAAGTTAGTTATTTTTTGTTTCGAGAGTTTTTACCACCAGGTCAGTTCATTTCTCTGTAATCGTTTCATACGTTGCATTCATGCGTGATTTCAGTGTTTTACTTGTTTTTCAGCTGTTTTTGAAATAGTACTGTGTAGAAGTTTTCACTTGTGATTGGTCAGTTTTTCATTAGAGTTGCGGTAATTTCAAACATCAAATATGTGAGGCATTGTAAGTTCGGTGGTTTTCCAGTGTTTAAACTATGTTTGTCTCATTCAGGTTGGCTACGTGGCTTGCCCAAAACGATGCAACAGATGACCAATAGGAATGCTCTTTCCCTCCAACCTAATTGTAATATGGCTGGTTGTAAATATGAACGTTGACCTTGAGTCTTCATTCTTAGTAGCATGTGGCACTTAGGTGATAACCCTGCTAACGTGCTGTTTGCTCTCTGTTTCACATCATTGACTGACGGTTGAGATTGCATTTAGCTGTTTGGTGAAGTTCGTAATTTCCAGGAGCGTTTAATCCGGTTAGGTGCATAAGTGACGACACATACTATAATAGCGCGGGAAGAAAGTGACAAAGTTCAACAATACCATCCCATAGGTTACCAACGCCTCGGTGACCTTGAGCCAACCAACCATAAAAACGAGGAGCTTTTGCATTGAAAGTGGCAGTGCACACATCACTGTTTTGTGGTCACTACATGAAAACATAGAACCCACTAAGATTGAGAGGGGCTTATGTCGTGACAGAATATGAAGTCCAGTACGTTGTCACCTCTTGTAGATGTAGTAACAGTTTGTTTCCAGCCGAAAATGTCCAATGTACCTAAGAGCTTGTCATGTTTAGTTGGCCTTGTTGATAAATCCCAGTTGATTTCAGGTAGGTTGAAGTCTCCATATATGATCTTATGCTCGTACGGGAGAGTGGATACTTGCTCCAGTACATTTATAAGTTGTGTCTCGTAATCACTAGAGGTGCCAGGTGCTCCGTAGATGCATCCTATTAGTAGTGTAGCACTTTTGAAGTGTACGTTGACCCACAGGGTGTCGTGCATGTCATATCTAGATCCATGGTAGAGGGAAGAGAGGTTAATTTAGGAGTAAG